CTATCAAAATTCCGTTTAATGACACAGGGTATTTCAGACATTATTATAATAACTATATTTGAAGAATTGCAAAGACTTCATTTTTCATGTATATGATAGACAATACCGCTATCTAGTAGACTAGCCCACAAAAAAATCATTACAATATGTTTTCAAACAAAATCCTAGGTCGCGTTCCACAAATAGTATGCAAATCTATGTTAAGCATTTTTTTCTAATTCGCAGCTCCGGTTTTCACTCACACAGTATGCATTCTTAATAAGTACTCCTTCAGTTCATACAATTATTCTTGTGAGAACATGGCTAGAATCTTCTCACTCGTATTATTTACAAACAGTGCCATTGAAAGATCGTTGAACTACTCGAATATTAAAATATGCGTGCTACGAGCTTAACGCAAAGCTAAATTTTCTAGACACGCAAAAAATATATGGGATCCACTGAATGCTTTGCAAATTACAGGTATTTTTTGTATTTGAATTGTAAATTGCGCTAGATGATTTATTACTTTTTACGCCTTTAGAGTAGATTCAACGAGCTAGGAATACTACTAATTGTGCTAACAGTATCACCTTACACCCGTTTTCACGCGTTTCGCTTGGAAGAAACGGTTCGCTCCAAGTTTGGCAGGTGGTATCCCACCTAATATTTGTAACTCCTATATATACATAGTTTAACATGTGGTTGATCTAAGGAACCGAATTATCGATTGCCAATTGAACATTTATCGACCAAAGAACACAAAGCGCTCTCTTTTTCTACTAAATATTGTAACGAAATCACCGTTTTTACTGTCCAAAGTCTAATTTATATCACTTGTAATTGATTCATAACAAATTTATAACTATGTCGACTGGACTATTATTCCATCTTAACTCCGAGATCCCTATCCATTGACTCTACTGTGTCTGTAGACTCGACTGTGGCTGTCTCGTTCCGGCATCTGGTCGGATATTTATGTCCCTATCCACGAGTCGATAAACATTCCAGCGTTTTCCAGGCTGAGTCATGACCTTCCCTGGAAGTGATCTAAATGGAAGCAGTTGTATATCCAGTCGAGGATTCGCAATGGCGTCGTGAACAGTACAAAAACGCGACCATGCTCCATATATAGTCTGGTTGCCTAAGCCTTCAGCCCACTTCTGGCCACCTCTCGAAGAGTTACAGTTATACGAGAGCGTTACTGTCATGCATAAATTGGAGCCCCATGTGAAAACAACCTCAGCACCGCTAATAAAACTGTGACTGAAAAAAGGACGTCAAATATTGTAAATCTAAGGCTATGTCCTTATAGAAGGAATTATCTTCAAGGGTGGTATATTGTACATCTTTATAATACGGATAAGAAGAAATATCACGTCTTTTTCATAAAATGTTGTATATAGGTGCAAACGTACTGTTCAAATATGTTGCTATAGAATCAAAAATATAAAAATATAAGCACAAATACAAGACACTCGTCAGTATCAAGGGATGACAGGGCAAGCACGGCAACAGCAAAAGTTTTCTTGGCATTCAAGATTCCATACTTCTAAGATAGATTTGCATCATCTGTCAGGTAAAATGGTTATCAAAGACTGTCAAACTCAGATGTTACCAGCAGATATTTTTAAAACAAAATATGTATTCCAATGTCTGGGTGGTATCTCATGGAACAGAAATGTAATCATGGCAACAAAGAATACTTTCTACTGAGGGATTACGTGGTATTAATCAAAATTTTATTGTCGTGTTGATGTAACAGGGACGTAACGGATTTGTAATGCATTACCCGACATATCAGCTTAATCACATTACGAAATTAACCTTGAATAACAGTATCATGTGTGGATATATGTATATCAAAGCAAAAATCGTTTCCATCCTTCGGGATAAGACGATACAGTTGTATCTAGCATTAATTCCATAAATTATAGTATAGAAAGCTCAATGCAAATCGAAGTAAAAAGTTTAAAATAATTTTCAAGTATAGGAGAGAGAATTTGTGCTACTGCAACAGAAAGTCCAAAAATCAAGTATGCCTAATTAATTTGGAATCAATATAAAAATTAAGGTATTAACAGAAACTAGCATCCGTTGGACCACTATGGTTTGAAGAGTCTACAAGTTTTGACTCGTCTAATAACGTGTCGTACTGCGACGTCACTATGGCAGTCACGGCCAGACACTCGTCGGTGAGACTGTGACGCTCATGTAGAGAGAGAGAATGGAGGCGCGTATCGAAAATATCTCTGAATCATTCTAAAATTTAAGAGTAAATCAGCGATGAGCGAATGTGTCTAATTCGTGCGGTGTCGATATACCCCCTACAATCCCCAACCTCCGGGTTCTAACCGCTACAAAAACTTTTCCAAAAATGATCAGGAGTCTCTGAAACGTCAAAAAATTGAGTTTTCCTCCCAGAATGGATATTCAAAAACTACAGCTCTCCATCACTGTCGTAGTAGTGACCTTGTGTAAAAATTACATCAAAATCCGATCTTTCCAAGTTACAGACGCACCGAGGATCAGCGGACAGACCGACGTGACCCTCATATATGATGTACAAACAACACTCAAAAAACATATTCGAATTGTTTTCGCAATTACAATCCTTCCTCGCCAGCAGTGGCGTGGGAAGTAAAATTTTTTTATAATGGAGGCTCTACTACTGCAAACGACCAATCCAAATGGGATTATCCACAGATCGCATTCATTGTAAATCGGATACATAGATCCCTATATATAGCAAATAGAATAAAAATCCACCTTCTGCACTATTGCGATTATTTGGGTCAGGTAATAAAAATATTCTTCGTGGGAACGAATAAAGCGAATCGGCCTTTGCGAACCTAAAAAGGAACTAGCAGGCTGTGACTCACCATACGGTGGTGCCATTGTCTTTACCCGTCAGCCTACTGCTACTTTTTTGCAAACTATGAGCCGGTATTCGTTTGGAGGTATACCCGATAAGTTATTTTCCTTCAAAGTTAGTTTCCATATAAGGCGGTGGTTCTTCGGGCAACGAAGTTCAATGTGAAATATGATTGCTAACGATCAATGTCTGCAACTTACATATCTGCGAACAGGTTCTCTGTTGCATTTTCACGTTCCAGCTGAGCAATAAAATTAAGAACAATAATTACGCCCTTTAAGTACTACTTACATGGTGGCTCGATGATTGCCACCTGATTTCCGTTATTTACAGTAAAACTTGTGGAAATAAATATTGAACCTGAAAATGATAACACTTAGATGTCAATTTTATGCGAACCGATCTTTCCTCCAATATCCATAGACCCCAAAGTTATGAATTCGTCTCCTGGATGTTGCGCGATTTATTGTATGTTTTGCCAGATAACTTGATTTTTCTTCTGGTAACACTCAACAAGTTTTATAACTTTTCGATAGCGGCGTGTGTCATTCAAGTACCCCTACTGCCAAATTGTGAATAAGTTTCATGATGGAAAGACTAGGCATTAACTAGCAAATTTTTAAACACACACAAATAATTTAAGAAATCATCCAAGCCAAACATCTTATTATAGTCTTCTAATAAGCTTATTAGATTAGAGGAATCCTGATTGCCTCTCAAAGCCTTTTGTACTTCAGATATGATATCCGTGGGAGTATGCAATATGATAATATTCTCCAGAAATGAGGGTAAGGTTATTCAAACCTCTCGCCAAATAACCCAAAATAGAATCTTTACCGAGTTTTTCATTGTCGTACGGTTTCTCACTGAACAAAACTGTCTCCAATCGAGAAGGAATAATCTGGAACACTTCCAAATTGAATAGATATTTGTGCCCACTCATAAAGACGAATATTTGCAAAAGCGTTATCCATTGCGCTTCATGACAGTTTCCTACAAATTCTCTGCCATAAAATTTTAAATTTATGTAGTTGTACCACCCGAGAAGATAGCTATATAATTTAAAGTTTCTAAATGGTAGTTGGGCATCATAACAAATTTGGGAGGTCACTTAATTTAACTACCTCTAACTGGCGTGTGGGAGCTGAACCAGTGAATGTATATACTAAAACGATTCATATCTACCATTTGTTATTTTCTGTTTCTTACAATAAAACTAATTTAGCAGCAGCTTTAGCAGTACTGTAGTTATCTGAATATTATGTACGTTTTCTTTATAATGAGGGAAAGTGTCCAAACCATGAAAAATGTTATAAACTTTGTGACTCCACGAAAATATATGACAGGTCTGTTTCTCTGTTGGTTTTCGTGTGTCGGTCCGACTCTCCGATGGTGTTCTTGCTACCGTATAATCTCAATAATTGATGAATCGATTTAGCCATGTTAATATAAACCTTCTACTAACCTTCCTATTATATTAATAATAGCTCTTTCATGCATGATTGCATCTGTTCTTCAATAAACTCTTTCGTTTGTATCATCGTCGATTGTTTCTCTTGCTATTCCGAGGTCAATCTTTCTCTAAATTGTCTAACATTTGACTTGGTGGCCTTAGCTCAAGACCTATTACGTTCATAGATGCCTCATTTCGAGCGATTTTTCCATCCATCAGGCTTTGTACCTTTGGATACACCTTAGTTCATCATATTTTAACCGATGCAGATTATCATACAACTTCGAGAATTTAATGGTTGTTGTTCTACTCTAGTGATGCTTATCTGTTATCAACTCTGCAACAGTTTTTATAATTAAAGTCAGTACGTAGGTGTACCCACCCTTCGCCGTTTGTATTTTGTAATCAATATTCGGGCAGAATATTTCCAAGACAGGTTTCGATGGTCAGAGATGAGCCATAGAAGAACCTTAGACGAACATTCGAATACTCAAAGCTGTGTGTATACCTACATTTCGTACAACACACGGGATGCTAGATTATAGTGCCATATGACAGAACAGTAGTTCGTTGGCAGCCCTGTAACTCAGTCAGCTTATCAGTTATAAAACAAAAGCCGGAAGAAAGTGGGGCGGGATGTTCAATTGTGCATGAATCTGCCGTGAAATTTACGTAAAAATAATTGATTGTCAGATTGCGCGCGACGCCGATCTAAAAGAGAGAAAAGAGAATTTCACAGGCCGCGACAAAGTCGTAACCACAGCGTTACCGAAACATCAGCAACAAAGTATAAGGACTACGAATAGAATAGTCACTTCGAGGTCGCACTACATTTTTCCTGAGTAAGCGACAGAGATATTGTGTCTTAAATAACGGTTTTGAATGCAGCGAATCCAAACTAAGCGGCTAGTAAGAAATTAATATACATTGCCTGAACTATGAGTGAATCGGCATCATAAAGCTCTGGCTCACATTCCGCAGTCCCTATATCCACCTTTAAAAGGAATCAAGTAGAGATGCGCGTCCAGAGCGGCAATTAGTATATCAGGAAATGAGGAGGAAAAATACATATAGTATCTAAGTAAACCTGTGCATCCAAGTCACGTTTTGTACATACATTCTGGTATCTTTTTACTATTGGCCGCCCATGGAAACCCTCTTCTTTTCTTCTCTCCAACATTTTTCGCAATTACAATACTACCTCGACAAGGGCGTTTGAGGGAAAATATAAACATAATAATAATAATCATAAAGGCGCTGATCCTACGGCTGGATATACCGCTTTGCCTGTCGCTGAAAGAACAATCTGGGATGGTCATCGCAACTTCTTAAGAAGTTGGAACATGAAAGATTTTCTACGTATACAAGTGATTTTACTTTTCATTCTTCATAGTCTGCATACTTTGCCACAATGATACCAAAACTGCAGCTACTTCCTGTACACAAGGCCGCCGGTTAAGTGCATACCTTGGGCCACCAAAGTCACCTGAGTGAAAGTGCATTAAACCTGATGCCGACGACAATACAGTATTTAGAAACGCCATGCATATCAAGATAGACTGCAGCGTGTGATAATGAGAACAAAAATGTCTTGCTGCCCCTTACCTCCTACCATGTACTAGCCATCCAAATGGGCATGCTGATTTGAACTTTGTCATCTTTCAGACATACATTGGTAATGCAGTGATACAATTTGTTTCCAAAGGACCACGCACTATTGTAGAAAAAGTGTTGCTGTTCAATGTTCTCATCATTCAGAAGGCTGACGTTGGATATTTATGTCTTATTAAGCGCGACCGAAAAAAAACGTTCTTTTTACATCTACGCACGCCTACTGGAGGGGAAGTATGTTATTGTAAAAGCAAAAAATTTCGAAAATGAGATATGTCTTCTGGATGTTAGATGACATGCACATTACAAAAAACCATGTCACTCATTTCCGTCGGTCTGTCTATCTGTCGGTCTGTCCGCTAATCTTATAACCGCCTGTAACTTTAGAAGTACCGTTCGGTTTTCGATGAGAGAAAAAGGCCTAACGAAAAAAAATAAAATCGCATAAACTTTGTTTTTTTGAGAGTGAAAAAATTCAGGATGAGGGTTATAAGGGTTTGGGGAGGGCTTATCTCAATTTTTTGATGTTGGTACATTCTTGCGCTCCCAACATTAGTAATTCTACGCACCTTTTAGACACTTTTCGCACATCATAGACTCATTTGTACATTAGCCCTAAAAGCTTAGAAAGATATTCTCGGGAGACGGATGGCGAACCTATCGACCGCGGCTGCTAGCATCTTGCACCGACCGTGATGTCTGTTCTGCTATGGAATCACACGTATTTCTGCCTAGTAAGAGCATAGTGTTTTCTATGCCCTGGCCACATTGCCACGTCCACAGTGCCACGTCTGCAAAAGTTAGGAATCGGGGAGAGGCGAGGTTCCAGATGCACTACCGGTATCGGTTGGACTGACTCTTTCCTCAGAGGGCCAAGTTTGTGCTGAACATATTCATTTATGTACTGATAAGAACGTTGCGTGGGAAGTGCAGAGTCAACCTACTTGATGCCATTTTACAGGGGCGGGCTCCATATTAAGACCACTAAGCACCACAAAATATATTTTTGATATTTGATTTCCGTTAGAGTATGGTGGTACTTATTGAAGGGCATTAAAATATCTACTAGTAACACCGTGCTATGTGAAATACGTTTTTAATGAATGTTAACCGCATACCTCCTAATTAAAATAACTTAATTACATCAAAAAAGGCTTCAATGAATCGTTTTTCAACAACTACGGCAAGATACAATAAAGATACGACCAGTTACATCAAGGTTTTTGAGCCAGACAAGTTGTTTCACTGAGGCTCTACAATCGTCAGAGCAATCTAAGTCCAACGCAATACAGAACACAAGCGACAAGTGCAAGTATCTTAGAGTTCTAGCACCTAATGTACATTTACAATAGCAACATTGAGTAGCCTCTTTTTCTCCTTCAACAGAATCTAGAGTAGATTGTTGCCCTCATGAGCATAACATATCATGACCTCTCATCATTCAATATGAATATCTTCTTGGTTCTCTCTCTCTCTCTCTCTCTCTATATATATATATATATATATATATATCTCTCTCCCTCTATATCTATCTCTCTCTCTCTCTCTCTCTCTCTATCTAACTCTATCTCTCTCTATCTCTGACTCTTAATTGCCCTGGTAAACACCAAGTGTAAGATTTTTCAGGCATTAGACTTGCCAACTTAGATAGGTACTGTACTCTAGTGGGAATAAGATATTAAAAACCTATTTTATCAAGTTAAGGCAGATAGGTTGAGCGTAAGTTAGTCATTACCTCTGAAGAAATCATAAAAAACTGTCTAATCGGCATTGTAGTTTAATAGTGCTTTTCGAGAATACAGCATCGTAAGGGGTATTTATCCAACTTTGAAGGGTAGTAAAAATTGACATGACTTGCAATAACAATTATTCGAGCCATTTGTGATGTAGGTAGCTCACTCAAATCATAGCTAGTTTAGCTAAAAACTGCTAATTTTTCGATCTCACTGCATAATTACTCATTTTTAAGCCTTCTGAACCTTCGAGACCGCTTGGGACTGATGCAGTAAGAACATTTAATCAGCGTCACAACCTCAGAAAATGGAGCAAATGCACCGAAATCAGTTTTCTCGTAAAAATGGTGCTTGGTCCTTTGACGATTGTTAGACTGACTGAAAATGAACAGTTTTTGTCGGTCTAGAATAACAAATTAGCGAAAAAGCTCGCTAAAACAGCCTATACACCGAGTACTTGGATAGAAGATGCCAATGACGAAAGTAAAATTATATGAGTAATTCAAACGCAAATAATAGTTGTTCAAATACAATAACTGTACTATAATAGTTGAGAAATGTGCACCTGTTAGACCGGAATAGTTGCAGTGACCTGATTGCTTTTTCATCTTCCTATGTTTAATATTCAATTAATTATGCAGTTAATATGAAATTGATTGGTTGTTTCATATAAATGACTACTATATACCTATTGATAGAAAAACTGTTTATATAACATGGCATCGACTTTATATCAAGTTCCCGAGCAAGTTCCTTCCAAATTTGTTACGTTCACCAGCGGACATTTTCGATCATTGAACGAAAGTGAATGTCTACCAAGATCATTCGACACATTCTTGCTCATCACATATCACGTCATGTTCATACACATTCCCGTTCCTTATTAACAGTAAGGATCCCTGATTTATTGAAGATTCTCTAATTTAAAATTTTGACCTAATTAAGAGCAGTACCAAAAAAGGATGCACCCTCTGGTCTCATACTACTTCAAGCCTTTCCTATCCAGCAGAAAATTGGCCGCAGAACCCTCTAATCCGAAGGTCCGCAAATCTTCGAAGTTGAGTCATTTATTTTAACAGTGAGTAGATCTGATCAAAAGAAATGTTTTTTTCCTTTAACATTTTTCTCGTAAAATTAAAGTAACAAAGTTATAGCCCTTTAGAAGTTTGAGTACCGCCCTGTCTCAATAATAATATTATGTGCTCGTGTTTGGCGACAACGGATATACTCCGCCTTATCGGTTCATCGCATCGGAAACAAAAAAGCGAAAGAATTTGAAACGCTGATCACGATGTTTTTATTCAGTCTGTGTCAGTCGGTAACGCGTGAGTGAATAGTGGTGTTTGCTGCGTGGCTCAAACGAAATAAAAAATGGCACATATTTATGCGGATCGGTTTCCCAATCGAGTGCAACCAACCCCTCGTGCCTTTGTTAATGTAGTACAACGGGCTCGTGAATCAGGTGACTTAAGACCTCACAGGGGACTGCATGCCGGTGCTCCAAGACCTCACGATCAAATACAGGTCCGCACTGAAATACTTGTCGGGGGGATACTTTATAAAACAAGGTAAACAAATTTTTTTAATTTTTTTTTTATTTTTACACACATATTTTGGTTTATCTTCCTTCTACAATCATTATCTGAAAATTAATGACTCAACTTCAAAGTCACCCTGTATAGGTAGTATACATTTTAGGAACTATTATGAAAAAAATGGCGTCAAGTTGGTTGACTCTCTAAAGTATTTCCAATTCTAGTTGAAAACTCATAAAAACCAGAGCGGCCGACACCTCAAAGGAATATCTGCCATAGGCGTCACATTTTATACAAACAAATAAGGTTCAATACCAAAGTAAGTTTATTTGTAAACGACTGGTTTTATATTTAAAAAACGAAATATGAATATATTTCTGTGTGTGATTGTTGAGTGATACATAGCTAGACAAGTTCCGGTGTCTGTGGCGAACATAAAATGAAAATAAAATGACAGCATAAACAAATCTTCAAATCAAGTGTAATGAAGTTAAAAAAATTAAAATCCTGGAGTGCCAAATCTCAACAAAAAAAAGGTATTCAACAAACTCCACGACATGTGACAAGGCAAGGCTCGTAATTAGAGACGCCTATAGATTTTCGAAAGAAAAAAAATAATTCCCCATGTTACAAATATAGGCAAAAATCGCTGTTTCCTCCTTTAAGTTAGAATATCTCGGAAACTAGAGGCAATTTGAACGACGGATTCGAATTCTGCGCATTACAAAACTCCGGAATAGTATACTTTGGTTTCTGGTTAAAAATCTTGTCGACCTGCCGACGCATTTCATTGATCCAAAGATGCAACAACCTCCCTACGTTCCCCAGCCTGCAATTTTCAACCCCCACAAAAACTTCTCAGGAAATGATTATGAGTCATTTTTATTTGTTTAGTTTTTTGCCAATAGCTCAGCCGCCAATGGAATGATCTTCAGAAATCATGAAGCTTTTTTGTGCTTGGGATAGTAGTAACCTTGCGCTTCATCATAATCCGAGAGGTACTTTTAAAGTTATAGAGCGGTCAAGGATTAGCAGACATTCAAAAACATACCTCATTTTCGATATTCTTTTCGATACTTCCTCGCCGTTGGATGTAAAAATTATATATAAGTTTGACTTTGTCCCATGCCCCGAGACCCGGTCTACGTAGCTTTATTCTGTTCTTGACCTTGCAAAGCAGCATAATTTGATTTTGCACAAGTGATGTAAGCTTTACGTAAAATGTATACTCATCGGGCTTTGTAGTTGACCATCGTTGTTTCCTCAGCTTAGATCTGATATTTCAGATTTCCTCAGAATAACGTCTTGCAACCAGTTCATTTCAGTTCCTTTATGCAAAACATGTCGTAGAATGTGAAAATAAAGGGTGTCCCAAAATTAACGCAAGATTTGAATTTGCCGCCATTTGTGCAGTGAAGTGTTGGCAACCCTGAAAAAAAAGCAATTTGACAGCTAACAGTATAGGGTTATGAAAAATGGAGCGTTACACGATAGAACAACGTGTCTTCATTATTAAAGAATATTTCAAAAATAGTGAAAGCTTGGCGGCTCTAGTTCGAAAATTTCATACAAAATATGGCCGGAATAGTATTTTAACTTCGTCAACTGTGAAGAGATTAATTGAAAAATTCATGGAGACTGGATCCGTTGGAGACGCCAAACACACTGGTCGTCCAAAAACAAGCCGTTCAAATGTGAATATCGAAGCAGTGCGTGAGAGTGTTGCGGACAATCCAGGAACCTCAATTCGACGTCGTGGACAAGAATTGCAAATGTCAAGAACCTCTCTACAGCGTATACTCACCAAAGATCTGTGTCTTCATGCTTACAAACTTCAATTAACACAACAATTGAAGCTTAATGACCATGCAGAGAGAAGAGAGTTTGTTGAATGGATTATTGAACATCAACAAATGGACCCTGATTTTTCAAGCAAAATCATCCTAAGCGATGAAGCACATTTTCATCTTGATGGCTTTGTCAATCGCCAAAATTGCCGCATTTGGGGTTCGGAGAACCCACGTGTGATTGTCGAAAAAGAAATGCACCCACAACGCGTGACTGTCTGGTGTGGATTTTGGGCTGGAGGCATAATTGGGCCATATTTTTTTGAAAATGATGCTGGTCAAGCAGTGACTGTTACTGGTGCTCGATATCGCGACATGATTACACAGTTCTTTCTGCCAAAATTGAATGATATTGATGTACCCAATATGTGGTTTCAACAAGACGGTGCCACATGTCATACAGCCCGTGAAACAATTCAATTACTGCATGAGACATTTCCCGGTCGTGTACTCTCTCGTTTCGGTGATCAAAATTGGCCTCCTAGATCGTGTGATTTAACACCATTAGACTTCTTTTTATGGGGTTATTTGAAATCACAAGTCTATGTCAACAAGCCCACAACCACCCGTGCATTAAAGGAGGAGATTCAACGCTGCATCAACGAAATTCAGCCACATTTATGCAGAAGGGTCATGGAAAATTTCGACAAAAGAGTGCGCATGTGCATGCAAAGCCGTGGAGGCCATTTGTCCGATGTGTTATTCCATACATAACCCTATCCTATGTACTTTATGAGTCAATAAAAATATAACTATTAAAAGACTAAAAATGGCATTTTCTATTTAATTCAAATCTTGCGTTAATTTTGGGACACCCTTTACAAGTCAGTTCTAATATGTTGTCTAATCAGTAGTCGTCTCTTACCTTTTACTTTTCTCGACAACTGACGCCGGTGGCATCTCATTTCCGCTAAAGATAACGTTCTCCCATGTCGTCGATGTGCATAGAATTACATGGAAAACGTAAAACGTTCATATTTACCTGATCATGGACCAGTGGCGTATTCGGCAATCTTATAGAGAAGAAAAGCACACATTATGTTAGATCTTTTAACAAAGCTAACAATGTTCAAGTATTCTGCTGAACAAACTGATCTGTCAAACTTCATCATATATCCCAGTAGGAACGCGGCAGGCTCATCCAGGGAGTGGAACGATATTTCGTCCCTCTCCCAAAACCTGGTGCAGATACGATATGGAAGGTGTCTGTGAATATCTTAATTAGGAGGCCAAGCGATATTCTGCTCTCGTTAAACAGCCATTCAGGAATGAAGAACTCATACAGAGTATCGGGAACTTCGGGAATCCCGAATTTTAGTGGCTGTTGCACAAATTGAGTCATAGAACGCGACCGAGAATTGGAGCTATAAACATAATTTAAATTTATATTTTGTTAAGAAGTTCATTTAGACTTACGAAAGTGACGAAAAACCAGAACGTTTTGTGGTTCCAGTTCTTCAGTCCGATACAAATCCCAGAATTCGGGACCAGGAAGTCCAACATGAATCCCAGAACTCGGGACCAGGTTATCCAACATGTCCAATTGACACATATCTATTTACGCATATAGGCAGAAAAGTCATTACTGGTTCGCTGTGTGAATACTTAGTATTGTGACCACTTGACAGCAGGGTTTCAGTTTCGTTTTGCAAAATAAAATCAATTTCAATCATACTTAAAAAATATAAAAAAAAACCTGAACCATTCTCAAACGATAAAAAACAGTGTTTAAGGCCCGTATCGTCAGTCGTCCCTACAATAATTGTAGGGCACCTTTGTGGCCTCCTTGATTGTCATAGTTGTCTACTTCTCCGTGTCAGCGCTCTATTTTGAGGTTATGTCCCAAACATCTATTTGCATCAAATTGTGCTTGCTTTTGAGTTATATCATGTTTTATCAGCCTGAAATTTCCTACAATTTAAAAAGAAAACATATCTTCACAATAGGAGAGCGCTGACGCTGACACGGGACAGGTGCAATCTAGAAATGTTTGAAGGAGAGAAAGGCGTATGACAATCAAGGAGGCCATAAACGCGCCCTACAATTGTAGGAACGACTGACGATACGGGCCTAAAACATGTTTTAAACAGTTTAAAACAAATTGGTTTAAAACACCTTCATTGTTATTAAACAGTGTTTAAAACACTTGTTTTAAACATTTTGATTAAAACATAACAACCCTGCTTGACAGTCAACCGTGAGGGTGCAATGCGACATCTCTGTGCTTCGCGCGGAACGTCGAGCGATTATGGGCTAGAGAACGTAAGGGTCTCTCTATCGTCTTCATCGTATGAGATGAGGACAAACATCAGCTTGGTCAACCATTGGTAGGTGGCGATCGGCAGATTTTCACCTACTTGCGTTCAACGCTAATGGCAAATTGTTTTACGCCAACGTCCCCATCTCGTTGTTGTCAGCCACAGATTCTCGTATAACCCCTCATCTCCCAAACTCATGTGAACTGCTATGGGATCTCTATTTATTCAGGAGTGCGGGGACTGCAAACCCAGTAATGACTTTCAATCTTTGAATCTTAACAGATTATGAACAACAATGGTTCTTTCCACGCTAGACTATAAAGTGATTAACAACAATTTTCTAATTTCGTGATCGAACTGAGAGAATCTGAAAACACAAAACCAGATCAAGGTAACTTCGCTTTATTCCCTTGGTAACCAGCAGAAAGAATTTGATCCAGCTGATAATTTAAAAACCAACTCCAATGGTGCACATGATTCGACAAGGCTAAATTCGTTACATAACATAAAATATACGACAGGGCTTAATTAGTATTCCAAAATAGGCATTGGCACCTAATTGAATAATCACGCTTTTGCTACCAATTGCTGATGAATCCCAGTGACTAATCGACGAGATTCCTACGCCTATACGACTAACGAGGAAAACAAAAAGATGGAAGATGTAGGAGGTAGAAAATGTGTAGTCTGTCTTCATAAGTGCGGCGTCCACGAATATTTCAAGTCTTTCTTCACTATTAGGTAAGGTTTATATTATCTATTTTTATTTTTCCAGGATTACATACATACGTCTTAAACAAAAACACCTAAACTAAGCAGGGAATTACAACGAAGAAGTAAAATAAAATGCAGAGTAGATCATACTTTTGGAAAAAGTGGCTCGCTTACTTGATAACCATAGAAAGAGGAAAGTAATAAATAGTTTTATAGTTCATCCTTGATAATACAATACAACATACATAGAAGCTAAAAAGGTGGAGGTAAGGCGCTTTTCTGAAATATTTAAATGAAAGGGAAGGTCATGTGATAACTTATTTTCTTATGAACATGTACTTTATAGTACTGGAATATAAAATCAATATATATAAAAATGGTGTACTGGGAGGTTCTCAAAGTTGAGCGTTTTTTAACATTAAATCGCTTATAACTCAACAACCAATCATCAAAACGCTATAGTATAGGTTATGTCAATATCCTTCTCTTGGAAGGGCCTATCCAATGTAATAAAATATGAAACAATCCTCAGACATAACTTTCCTTAAAGAAGAAGATTGACATAACATTTTGATGGGTGGACGGCCACACTATAATTTTCAACTGTTACGCTACGGGGGCGGTAAGATAACTGCTTATCCTCATCGCCCGATGGCGCCACTATCGCAAGAGAAATTTACTATCGTCTAGTTTCTAGTACATTCTCGTAGACGGCTACTGTCAATATTTCAGCCGAATCGGACTCTTTTTTTTTGTTCTGTTATTGGCACTGGTCGATGACCAACTGGCCAGATCCTTATGTTCAGTATAATGCTATGCTTTAATAGAATATAGAACATCCATTATTTAATATTACTATTGTATATTATTTCTATTATAGTTACAAAGAGTATGCGAATACATAGTTTTTTTTTAGCCAATATTTTTTACTTATTTTTTCCTTTTCTCTATTTTGTTTATAAGAGTGTTTTTTTAATATATATATACTTTACATAGGAAGCATATCCTTCAAAAATTCCGAGTATGGTCAGTAGCAAACTCAACTTTGTAACGAAAGGTGGTCAAACGATGGTGGCAGAAATTGTGGATGTTAGTGATGTTAAAACGTACAAACCTCGTTTACCTTCACTTGGTCGTGACTTCAAAAAATTATATCGGTTCGACGAAGCAAATGTACAATGGCTTGCGGACAGATTTTTAGTTGAGAGTGCGGAACCTTGAGAAGGAGCACTTTCATGTATTCATAAAATAAAGATATGTTTACGATATCTCGATGACCCTGGATATCAACAAGGTATTGGTCAGGAACTTGGTATTAGTCAAGCAACGGTATCTCGGACTGTGGATAGAGTTGTGAACAGCATAGTTGCACTGTCGAACGAATGGATCAAGTTTCCAACTACCAACACATATAGGAATCCTGAAGCCAAATCGCCATGGAGATGAGTATATCAACCGAAAAGGGAAACCTACTTTAAATGTGCAAGCCACTTGTGATGCCAGACAGATGTTCACAAGTGTTGATGTCAGTTGGCCTGGATCAGTGCATGATTCCATAATATGGAGAAATTCTCAGACTAGATCACAACTAATAAATAAAGCAAATGTTGTACTACTTGGCGATGACGGTTATGGTATTGAGCCATGCCTTAAGACTCCCTTCAGAAATCCTACTCCAGGTGCAGAAATAAATTATAACAAGCTTTTAAAACAAGAAACAGTTATAATTGAACGCTGTTTCGGCCAACTGAAACACCGGTTTCCTATCCTACAGTATGTTTGCGCGTAAAGTTGGAAAATGTGCCGAAAATAATTATTGCTTGTATTGTACTCCATAATGTTGCGAATAGCTTGGGCGATCCTGACTTTTAGTTAGTTGAACAAGACCCAGATGAAGTTGAAGGAAATCATGAGAATGACGAACTTCCTCTCCGCCGACTAGGTCAACAAATAAGAAGAAACTTGAGTATTATAATAAATAGTTTTACTGATGAAAGTGTATTTATAAGTTAATAAGTTTTATTTCCCTGAACATCATAAGTTACAGGTGGCTTCTGATGCATCTAATTTTGTTTTATAATACTCTTGTTGTAAAATACTTGTTTGGTACTGCTGTAATAGCACTAGACGTAGCAGTTCTTTTGTAGTTAACCCTTTGGTTTCCTCAGTTTCGTGTTTCTCTGTTGCTAATTTTCTTTTTGGTGGCTAAATTGCTGGCGCTGTAATACTAACTGTTTGCTCACTGCGCTTGGTATATAGTTCACTTTCTTCTTCTTGAAAATTACCAACCTGAATGGTACCTCTAATTTTCCCAATTGTAGGATTACAGTCACCTTCCATAGCTTTCAGCAACTTTCTTTCCCAATCTAACAATTTAATTGCTTTATTACCAGTTTTTTTTAGATCTGCTTTTTTCTCCAATCTTGATTTCATGTTGTTGATTTTTTAATAAGCCTTAAGTATCTAATGGTTTACCGAATATTGATTCGTATTTTTTCAACATCTTCTTCAAGGAATCGTCGTTTCTCATATATATTTTTGGAACTTGTAACTTTTGCAAAATAATGGGACCAATGGCAATTTTATCTCATCACTTGAGGTTGACATGCTTATTAATTTGATAAAAAACTGTATCCAGTAAAAATACGGAACGGTCGGTCTAAGCTCTGGAGTACAACCATCAGTGATGCTGAGTGAACTCAACCTTTTTACTTCTTCTTGGAGGATATCCTCGCGAGTATAAGGTAATCATTATGAATATGAAAACAAGGATATGTTTTTACTTCTACCTTTTTCTCCAAAGCGAGGCCTTATACTTTTACCTTATGCTTCCGAGGATATGCTTCTCTTTTATGTATACGGCTCAATGCATCAGCTCACACCTCCGACGTCGCCAATGCCAAATAGCTCGAATCAGGATACGAATTGCTGCTCTATCCACCGTATTCTCCAGATTTATCCCCGTGCAACTTCTTTTTGTTTTCAAACTTGAAAACGTCACTCGCCAGGCAGAAATTTGAGTCGATTGAGGAGGTTATCGCCGCCACGGAGGCATACTCTGGAGGCTTTCAGAAAATGTATTTTTCAGATGGGTTAAGAAAGTTGGAGCATCGCTGGATCAAGTGGAACGAGCTAAAAGGAGACTATGTCGAGAAATAAATCGCCACTTTTCCAAAGTTTTCGTTTTACTTTTGTAGGCTAGGTACTTATCGGTCATCGGAAATATAGTATTCACGGATCCCGAGTTTCAGCTTGCTACCTTCACCCGTACAAAAAATAAAGTCTGTATGTTAATCTGTCAAAGACTGGATTAGTAGTGGAACTGGCTCCTAACCAGATTCAAATTGCAAAAAAGTTTATCAAAGATTCGATATCTGCTTTCATACAAGAGCTGCTTAAATTTAACAGGTATGCCACTGATAGTTGTTTAAACCAATATATGGGGAAAAGAACGAATCTCATAATACATCTTGAGCCGCTGTGTTAAAGCTGTCTGAAAATGAGGTTTCAGTAATATTATAAATAAGAGAGAGAGAGAGACAGCGAGATAGAGGGAGCGAGAGAGAGAGAGAAAGTGTGGATGTTCAATACTTAATCACGCCAAAATCGCTGAACGGATCTGAATGAAATTTGGTATAGAGATAGACTAGTTTTTATCCCGGGAAATAACTTTGAAATATCTGTTACAGGGGTTACAGCCCAAACGGTACGGGAATTACGTATCTTGAAAAGTGACGTTATATCAATTTTTTTTAATTATACTATTTTTTGACATTATGTAGGTTCTTATACAAGATGTTAACTTAGCACTTAGTTGTACGTGTTGCCTAAATGTCATGAGGCTTCAGTTATCAATGCTTGGCTCTGATGTGATGTAAAGTCTGCTTCAGAGATGGCATTACTGAAGGACTAAGCTGTATGTTGCATGTATTGATGATAATTCCATTGGATTCTTGTCTCAAATACACTTACTTGAGATTTAAAGCTAGAAATTACTTGCGCATCCACTTTTTCTTATCCATTATGGAAATTACATATGCAAATTTGCTGAATTTAAAAAATAAGAGAGACAAGAAGTAATCATACTCACTGTACACACAATTACAAGCCATATACATGCTAACAGTAATTACACACAACGCGGGCGCGGTGGCGATTTCCGCTAATTCTCCTCAAAGTTTTTCGTAATTTATAACTTTGAACATAACCTCCCTTGAGAAAGCCCAGCACAAATAACACGTCGAGGCCAACTAATAGATATACTTCGTTGGCAACATATTCAGTGATGATTTTCTCACACAGCAAATATCACTGATTTTATGCACATGCAGACCAATATACATAATCATCCAGATGCGATCTTGCTATTCAACCAACTTTCTTCTCAGAGATGAAAACTGCAGACCACGCGGTTTCACAAAACATATGCAACCAACAATGCGTGTAGTTTAGTTGAGTCACTTCTCCATAGATGGATGCTCACAACGATCCTAGTGAGCAAACGTGGAATGACTGTTTGAACCCTAAAAACTACCTAGTCTGCAACATGACATTTTATAGCTTTTTTACATAATACCCGAGCGACTTAATGGAACTTGACATGAGGTGTCTGGCGGGGAAGCGCTCAGTCGCTGGTCTGACCGAAATCTGTAAGGTTATATAAATAGGCCATTTGCATAGTGTATCTACTGCATTTTGACATTAGTTTTCTTAGAGACTTTTTTGGTGACTTGTTTTACTTCGAATATAATACTGTGTATAAATAATTATTGGGTTAGGATATGTTAAGATATGTCAAACAGTCTGTAAGATACTTCACTTGTTATGTATTGTGGTTTTGATTACACATTTGATATTAATTTATATTTGCATTAAACTGTTGAATACAAAATGTCCATTGCCAAAGTAACTATTGCATTACCTCGAATATTGTATTTCTTTCCCCGAAACCAATCTCCTTTACACTAATGCAAAACGAATTATCTATACTTCACCCTACTCACACGCGGGCAGAGCCGCGGGCTCATGCTAATAATCTATAAGGGTGGCGATGATGTCATGCTTTCCTGTCAGCTTATTTTATTCTCTCCAACATTAAAGCTCTCCTAAACTGGACAATGCGCGGGAAGTAGGAAAAATAGAGACGATAGACGACAGCGTTGCGTTTCTCGACACCCCGTATACGCACGAAGCCGCTGAAAGTACTAGCAGCAGCACCGCGAGAATTCCTAGTCGAGTTCGGAGAATGTCGTGATTCAGTACCGAGAGAT